GCACGATTGTTTCAATTTCTTTCTTGGATGTAAATGATTAGTATTACTTATTACGTTGACCATAAAAACGGTAAATTGAAACATCAATGCGTTCATATAAAAAATGGGCTTACAAAATGGGGGTGTGGCCTAAAGTCTATGAGAAATTGATGTAAACAACGTAGCCCTGCTATATTAATCAGAAAAATACCTAATTACAGTTTATGAAAGCAAATTTTTAAATTGAAATTAATAAACTACAATGTTTAATGGAAAGATTGGGGCAAAATAATGTAGAAAATCTGAAAGTTTTATTTTTGTAAATATTTGGGGGGCCAAATGTGGACGTTTAAACGATTCATTCTTTTCTTTACTCGTGAAATCAAGCCGTCCAACTGTTGGCATGATTATTATAAGCATTGACTCCCTTCCAAAATTGTGAAATTCATTGTCCCAGGGTCAGGGGCCCTGGGGTTAGGACAGGGCTATAAAAATTTACATCGTGAAATACATTTATTCTTTGAAAATCTTTTCCTCTGCCCCTGGATATTAAAAAACTAACTGCATGCATAGATATTATGAGGAAGGATATTCTCATCAAAGTTTTGAAATTCGTGACCCAAAGGTCAGGGATTCTGGTGCTACAGTGGGGCTATATAAATTGTAAAGTTAAAATTCATTTATTCTTTACAAAATCTTCCTCTCTGCACCTGGATATTAATTAAACTAACTACATATAGTTATGATAAGCAAGGGAGCCTCTTCGAGAATTATAAATGTCAAGGCCCCTGGCTTATTGGTGCCATTGAGGGATGGGGACTCTTATTAAATATTTTAATTGAATTAATGCTTTGATATTTGTTCTTTGGAATACATCAATTTTTTTTTTTATGAACAAGGATGCCTTTTCCAAAATTGCAAAATGTATGACCCCAGGATGAGGGTTTTTGTGGTCAATGGGCACTACTAATTATTGCCAATTATTACTGATTATTTGAAATGCACTTTTTGTTCCCCTACGCTCTATATAGATATCAAGTCGCCAAACTAAGCACGCTAAGTACTAGTATATAGTTATGATGAGCAATGGTGTTTTTTCACAATTGCGAATGTCATGTCCTCTGGTTCAAAGCGCAAACCAAATTCAACTGTTTTAAAGTTTTTACATGATGTTCAGATGACCTATAAGACCCATAGGCCTCTTGTCGTGTTCTTATAAGAGAACCTCTAGTATCCCGTGAATATACATTTTATCTGTAACCTCTGGTCCGCCCTTATTTTTCTTTTTATGTGTCTCTTGGTTAAGAAGGGTCTAGAATCGTTGATTCTCTGCATTCCTATCAATTTTATTTTATATCTGGTTTCATTAAAAATGTACTACAAAGTGAACCACTGGTCTTCCTATTTATTCACAACACAAAGTGACCTTTGGCCTCCCTTGTGTTGTAAAATATAAAGTGTCCTTAGGTCCCTATAATGATCTACAACAAAGGGTGAACCCCTATTGATGTACACAATAATTTGACGTATAGTCTTGTACAGTAAAAGGTGACCTCTGGTCCCCTTTCTGTTGTACAGTATAAAGGTGACCTTTAGTCTCCATAATGAAATAAAATATAAGATGAACTTTTATCAACCTATAGATGTACAATATTAGTTTACCTCTGGTCCACCTAGTGACGAACGTAAAATCTGACCTGAAAGTCCCCCCCCACTGATGTACAATATAAAATGACCTCTAATCCCCCTACTGATGTACATTATAAGGTGACCTCTGGTCTCCCTACTGATGTAAAGTGCAATATAAGATATCCTCTGATCTCCCTAATGATGTACAGTACAATATAAGGTGACCTCTGATCCCCTTACTGATGTACAATATAAGGTGACCTCTGGTTCCCTTCCTGATGTACACTATAAGGTGACCCCTGGTCCCCCTACTGATGTACAATATAATGTGACTCCTGGTCCCCCTACTGATGTACAATATAAGGTGTCCTCTGGTCCCGCTGCTGATGTACAATTTGAGATCACCTCTGGTCCCCCTACTGATATACAATATAAGGTGATCTCTCTGTCCCCCTACTGATATTCAATATAAGATGACCTCTGGTCCCCCCAATAGTATAGTGCAATATAAGGTTTCCTCTGGTCCTTCTACTGATCTACAGTAAAATATTATTTGAACTATGTTCAATCTCCCATGGTCATCACGTATTTAACATGCGCAGTAATTTGTGTTGATTATATAGAGCCGAAAGCGATGCTACTGTGTCGGCTGATTTACTCCGATGATATTCAACAGAAAACATGCATAAACATCCGCCACAAATAGTTCATGTCATTTTCTCCTCAATTGATCTAATTTTCATAATTTGAAATGTAAGTAAATGTAATATTGATAAAGTAATCTTATTTTGAATATTAGATTTCGTTCAAAGTAAAATTAAATTATAAAGAACCTCAAAAGTTTTTCGTAATGGAACTCATTTTTTGTGTGGCGTCATACACTGAAAAAGATACGATCGACAACTGTACATACTAACGACAAGCGGTATAGTCGTCCTGACGCCCGACGGTCCCGGATTTTTAGCAATTTCTTTTTTTACCGGTGCACAGAATTTATTCAAACTTTTCATGAACATTTTTTTTTGTTTAAATGAATTCATTAATGCATAAAACGTAAGGAAACATGCGTATTTATTACTAAATCAGCAGTATCACCTGCCAAAAGCGGTAAATCTAGTAGTCTGTTATAAATGTTAAAACCAAAAAACGGACACTGATGTTTTCTTAAAATCGTTTCGTAAAAACAACGAAATGAAATTTTTTTTTAAATAAAAGGAAAACCTCATTTACATACCAAATAACTCGTACGCACACAAACTCTCACATATACCACTGTTTTTATGTTTGGTCATTTGTTTGTTTTAAACTTGGTATTGCTTTTTTCTTCACAATATAAAAAAAAGATTAAGTTCTGACGTACTCCATGTATAATGTTCGTGTAATTGAAATACATTTATATTCACAGGGAAGTTTTATATAACAACCTGTTAGCTCTTAAAAGGATGCTGTGTTAAAATCCAAATTTTATTTTATCAACATTAATATTATTCCTGCGAAACTGAAATTTTCATAACACATGGGTAAAGGTGCCAAGGAAAAATATCTTACAAATTTGAAGACTGTGAGCAGTAAATTATATAAATGATCAACCGCCTCTAATATGAATATAATGGCGGTGTCCCTGTTTTGCAATGGGAAACCCAAAATATGTGTAGGATGGAAAAGTAATAGATGGTGCACAATGGAAATATGTAATAAAGATTCTAAGAAAATTTCGTTCAGTGGTGTAAGAGGAGTTGCGGATAAGAGATGGGTATACCTAAAGCGTAACAAACAGATAGACGGAAATCCAGACTAATAAATACCCTCCCGCTTTTCAAGCAGGGGGTATAAAAAAGGACTTATGTAGGCAGGCAACAATATGGCCCTGCATTTTTTGCTATTCAATGTCTCTGAATGTCTTTCTCAAGATTTTTGCAACTCAAAAAATCTGAAACAGTTGTCTTTATTTGAAATAATAATATTGTTCACTCACTTAATCTCCCGATCAAAGATTTTATTTAACACCACGTTCAACTCCCATGAGTGCTTTCAGTATTTTGATTTTAAGTATGTTGACAAGTATACCTTAATCAAACATTGTTAGAATCAGCGAGATGATGCGTTAAGATAAGATGCTACTCTTATCTAATGGATAAAAAAGGTTACCGGTTTTAGTTCATTTGTTGAGATAAACATGTAAATCAGTTTACGAATCATTTATAGACAAATTAAGAGTACGTCAATGTAATTTTAATTAAATCAAATTCATTGTCTTTTACACTTATCTTAAGTTTAGGCTGCTCTTCGAGAAAATTTAATATTTTTTCCCCTTCTTTGTTGCATTTCATGTCAAAAAATTTATGAAACAAGAATCTAACTACCTGAATACATACAAACGTACAGTATTCTAAAAAAAAACCAGGAAGAATATTCAATTATCTTGACCAAGAATTATATATTCCTGGTATCTTATTATTTGATCACTTCTTCTGTAGTTCAGCTCCAAAGAGAGCAAATTTGCTCCTTCTTTTTCCTTTACATTCTACGCAAAGAATGAAAGATTATGATTGTAACTCATGAAATTGAGAGCAATCTTTCCAACTACCGGACTTGTTTAAAGGAAAGCTAACTTTGTATCTTTGTGTTTTTTAGACATTCAAATATTAAAGGCTCGGACAAATACCAGATTTTTGGAGATTACTTGTATTTAATTCACTTGCACGAGATATTTTTTCGGAGGAATAAGACATTTAATTAAACTAATTAAATATTCCTTCGGAGAAATTAAAACTTTTCTTAGTAATCTTCTCTGACAATTTAGTATTTTCTGTCGCCAAAACTGTAATTTTTTCGGCCTATTAAGGTAGTCCGATCCTCAGGCTCTGAAAATCAGCTTTTCGGTCAAAATGTTCTCATAATGTCTCAGATTTCTTAGAGTGATGTGTATTTAGTTCTATTTACCCAAACTATTTCTTAAAATTTCATCATTAAAATTAATTACATTATTAAGGGCAACATTCAATGCTCATTTTGTAATTGAAAATTGATTGACAAATATCCTTTTGGATTTAAAACTATAAGTATCAAGGCATTTGGGGAAAATTACATGTCTTGCTAACTTACACGGTATTTTTTTTTCTATTTACTTCAATTATAATAAAAAGTTTATGCTATAATTGCAAGACACAAAATGATCACGTTTACTCTTGCTCATAAGCATCGGTATCTTATGTTAGATTTTAGGAAAAATCTGTTTCTCTAAATATAAATTTATTTTTGTACTTATATGATTCTATTGCAAATGGAGCAAACAAGGTTTTTTTTACCATTGGATTTTGTCCGTACTGCACAAGATACTAAATACAAAATAGGAATAATATCTTGGACCATGATTAAAAAAACATACTTACCATCAAGCCTTATTTCACGTGCCTTCTTTCACATCAGTAGACAAAAAGAGAAAGAACATAAATTTTATGAATATTTGTCTTAATCAGTAATTTTGAGCTCTTGACATTTTGTTAAGTATTTCCAACTCTCAACTTAACTCTGATATACCAAATAGGTTTTTGTTTACATCTTCATCATCATATCCTGTCCTTGATTTCCCAGGAAGCTAAAACTTAACTCTACCAAGATCTACCAACCCCTAGAGGGTCTTTTTATAATACTAGATCACCATTTCACCGGTTTTTCCACAAAAGGCCCAATATCCAAATTATAATATAATATTTACATGAAATAAAGATTATCCACTTTATTTCTTAAGAAAATCATTGTTGTAAACGCAAATAGAAGTTGTTAGTCCATCTTTAACGAGCTAGAGCACGAAGAAACACCTGTGTTGCCTGCTTTTGGTTTTTTTAAATATGTAACTAAATCTATGAGTGGTCAGTATTTGTATGCTACTACGAGTGGCGTTCAATAAATAATGTCATTGGGGCTCGGAAAGGAACAAAAAACGCTTTTCTATGACTTAGTCTTAATGATTTAACTAAAATATTCTTTTTCAATTAAAACGCGTATCCGTAACATTTTAATTCAATTTCTAATTGTTTTTCGAACACATTTTGAGAATGACCCTTCCTATACTGGAATATGGCAGATCCTATGATTTGCTGTACTTGTTTTTTTTTCCTTTCTGATGGATGTTTTTCTAAGTTTAGGAAATGAAACAAGTCAAAGTTTGAAAGATCTGGCAAATTTTGTTGGTGTGACAAAACATTAACTTTCTGATTACTAGTATCCCCAACACTCCTTTACTCTTCATGGCCTGTGGGTTTGGACGCCGTCATAAAGACATTTAATGTAGTGAATTCCTCTTTCTGTTTCCTTCCTCTCATAAACCTTTCAATTTTTTTGCAAAAAAAAATGTTTTCTAGACTCCTCCAGAAATTTTAACTTCCTCCCCGAATATGAATTTGAAGAACAAGACCGCTAATATTTCAGAAAATAGCATATAAAACTGTTTTATGCTCCTGCAATTCATTGCTCTTCTTAGGCCTTTGCAGTTTTTTCAGGTGCATCTTATTGTACAATTTGTTTTGAGGGCTTAAAGCAAAATGGATTCAAGTTTCATTATCTGTTAGAATTTCATACAAAAGTGGATGAGTACAAATTTTGATTTTTTTAAAATAATTGTTTGATTATTCCTGCACGCTGTCGTTTTCACTCATTTTCAAAATATAGGGTGACCTTTGAGTATTAATCTTTTTTTTTTTACTATACAATGTATCTTTAAAACAGTATGAAATATCCCCAAAATGATTTTTATCAATTTTACTATGTGTCTCAAAGTCAATAAAACATAATCAGTGATAATTTGTTGAATATTCGCAAATCTACATCAGTTGTTGCCAAGGACGGTACCCATTTTTTATGCCCATTATATAATTTTTGTTTATTGAAATCTACATGTTCACCTGTCTATAAAACAGGCATTGGTTGTTGTAAATTTCACATATTTCAGTTAATATATTTTTGGGATATTAACAAGTTTTACAGCTGCTTTAATGAAGCATTTAATTTTACTCTAGTTTACTGATTCTTGACCATTTATTTTAATGCAGTGTCTCGAATAGCCCTTGTTTTCCAGCTTCTCGCGATGAAATAATGCGATGAAAAGTAGTCACACAAACTGTTATCAATTCATTAAAGATTCAATTATGAGTGAAAGTCAAGCTTTATGTCACATGACTACTATGTTGTATGCCATCGAGCTAATAACATTATTTATTGAACGTCCCTCGTAGCTTATACAGTATTTCATGCCCAAAAAAATCTAGCATGATAGTTCATAATACACATAAAACATTCACACATAATATTAAAAAAAATGCGATAGAGTCTGTCTATAAAAAATATTATTCTCAACCCTCAAATGAACAATTAAGTTGAAATCATTATTAATAATTATTTATTATTTTACATGTGTTAATACGTCTTTCAAGGTCTTTACACTATTTTCACTCTACACGATCTGTTGTGTGACCCAGAATCCGATGTATTTTCAAAATGTATCTGGTTACTGAATATCATACGGTTTCGAAGAAGAGTATTTTGAGTTCATAAACATGTATCAATGTTAATTATCAACACCCGCCACTCAAAATTCAAAAATCTTAAATTGAATTGTATGGGGTATTTTTTGTAAAGAAGGTCAAAGATTACGCTAGTATTTTTTAATAATGTTTTATGACAATTAGTGCACATGCTAAATAGCAAAGAATTTAGCTGTACATTGTCACTCTTTACTTATTAGTAAAGTATATCAAAGGACAGGGTCAAGAGTCGCGAGGTCGGCAACCATGGCAAGTTACAAATGCCATAGTGCCAAGCAATAAATGTGCAAAATAGCAAGTCCTTATCTCTTTCAGTCCTTGAGATACAAGGTGTGACAGATGGAGAGACGGACAGGCAGACTGACAACGGGTAAAGTGATCTCTTAGTGCCGCCCTGCCCAGCAGGCGACACGCTCTGTTCCGTAGCCAACGCAAAAATGCAATGGCGTGCATCCGAAAAATACAATTTTTAGCCCACTTAATGAAATATAGAGATAACAAACAGTATTCAAGACTAAAGGCCATAAAAATACAAAATGAAGCAGAGCAAACACGGACCTCCAAAACATCAGAGGTGGGGTCGGGTGACATGGAGGAGTAATTAAGCATCCTGATATGACGGGTCACACCCGCCGTATGCTCCTTTTCATGATCGAGAAATAACGGAAAAATCCGTCGTCAATTCAGTGTATAAAGGACTAACAATTAGTATGAAAAATGTTGGTCAAAATCTGACTCAATGATAAATTGTATTTGCTGTCAAGGTCATTGTATAGTTTACAGAGTACTTAGGAAATGATGAAGAAATGATGACTTAAACGGCGACTGCTGATATTTTTGTTTCATCAACTTCTTTGTCAATAATTTACCTCTTTTTGGAAATTTTACATATGTAGAACATGCTCTTGTGTATCGAATCAAGTGAGAAATTTAAACTCTATATGCAGGTGATGAAGATATATTGTTGCGTAAGTAAAGGAAGTTGACGATTGTAAAGTCATCACGTTTATCATAGAGGTTGGTTGTTAGATACCCATTAACGTCTTTTTCAAGTAAAATACCCAAATATGATACAGATGTCTCAGAATCTTTGTTGCCTTCTAGTCAACATTGTCTAATTCACAAACAAAATTCACAACCATTCCTCAAGATAAATTAAAGTATAGGCTTTTCGATATCATGACGATGTCACCTGCTTTTTTTCAATAAAAATGTAACTCTTTAATTTACTTACCTTGTCATTGGTCATTTTCAAAATAATATTGTTAAAAATACGTACTGATTGTATACACAAGTACTCTGATAATTGAGTTTCTGATTGACAATATCTATCTTGTTTTTGGAGCATCGAACAATCTATTGGAATTTCCATATGTACCAATTGCGCCCCGTTATTAGCAGACCTATTTTTGTATTCATATGAAGCAGAATTTATACAAAATCTTATGCGTGAAAAAAAGAAACACTTCCCAGTACAGTTAAGGTGCGCAATGGAAATATCGACAATATTTTGTAATTAAAAATGTTCTTATAATCGGAATGGCGATTATTTTTAGTACATTATTTATATCGTATAATTGTAATTATGGTTAATAATAACATATTGAGAACGATTATATTTTTAGACTTGTCACATAATGCGGCAGTCACGTGATTTCAGCACATTTACTTGCAGTATTGAGGTTCCCAAAGAATTTCACTAGTGCAAGGGCATAACCAAGTTAAAATTTTAAGTGCTGAAAAGTGCTGCGATCCTATCTAGATTCTGCAATTTCATAGTATGACTGAATGCTGTATTTTTTGCGAGTCAATGGCATGATTTTTTTTTATTTTCAAGATTTCATCAGGATCGCAGCACTTTTGAAATACCTTGATATTTCTAGAGTTGATTTGTAAAAGCTTACTATGTTCCAGTAAGTGTATACCCCCGCACTAGATCGATTTATTAAGACCCCCACATAACCCTCCAATATATTTGCATACAATTATTCGGCAGTATCAATTAAATACGAAATATACCGAAAATATATTAATAAAATCGTGAAGAAAACATTGAATCCAAGATAATGGCCTATGGAATATCTATTAATGATACATAATACATTTTTCGTTGAGAAAATATTGATTTGCCTCTCACTGCATAAAAAATACAAAATGACGTCACATCGACAAGTGGTGATGAAACAAGAATTATCACCAGTCACGTCTAAGGATTTCCATCCCTAATGGGACCTAACTCCCTACATTTAAATGTCCGTCAAGTACATAATACACTGATATTATATTAAAGCATTTTATAGTGGAAAACGATTGCCCGCGAGAAAGTTTTAAAAATGTCATTAATTAAGCAGTAGTTAATTAAAAAAGATTGCATTGAAGTCTATGGGAAAAAGTGTTTTTTCAAAATAAAAATTCAAATAATTTGAATATCAATAAATCCTGTGGTGGAAAGATGCATTGAAACATTAAAAATAGAATGACAATTGAAAACAATTTTTTTACCGGCTAAATTTTTTTTAATTGATTTTTTTTTATTAATTAAAAAAGGGGAGATAACTCTTACCAGAACTCAAGGTCATAAATTAGGACATATCCCACTATACATACTAATAGTAATAAATGGGAAATATGTCTTAATAAACTGAGTATTCAATGCCTACATATCAGTTATGTATTCAATTTCACTGAATTCGTTCCCATTAGGGATTTGATATAATGACAATATACATACAATTTATCATTGAGTGAGATGCTGACTGACGTTTTCTCAGAATGATTGTTAGTCCATTATTAATAAACTGAATTGACGACCGATTTTTCCGTTCTTTCCCAATCATGACAAGGAGCACACAGCGGGTGTGACCAGTTGGCAGGGCATGCTCACTCTTCCATGGCACCTGATCCCACCTCTGGTGTTTTTGAGGCCCGTGTTTGCTCTGCTCCTATTTTGTATTTTTTAATGGACTTTGATCTTGAATACTGTTCGT